AATCACACACGACTAGCTATTTGCCGATGGCTACGCAAGTAATTGTCAAGGAATTGGATATACAATGATGCTCGGACGTCATCGTCTCCGGATCCACGAAAGGCGGACGGCCCGACAAGAAGAACTATTATCATGCATGGACTAACACAATCAGCCAAAGTCATAGAATTTACGATTACTTTTAACGGTCAATTTTCCTTTGTGGTATACACATTCTCCTACCTGGACAGCCGGATCCCACGAAAGACCGAAATCGACAGTGAAACCGAAGCTTGAATCGCCAAAATTAGTCGGGCTGTAAACTTTAATAAGGGATGGAGGCAACATCGTTCTCAAAGGAAAGCTGAACATAGTCAGCCATGGTACTCGATACGCGTCGCAATGGAATAGAAACCTAGACCATCCATGGCGGTAGACGAGGAAATTAAACGAACCCGTCGTAGCCCTCTGTGGGAGATCCTGCAGATGAAATGACAGAAACGGATGCCGAACACCTAGCTCTTGGAGTCCCGATGTTCAGCACCTTTACAAATTCAACCGATGGAGTGGCCGCGTAGAGATGTATATGGCAAAGCGTGGGCACACGTGCTCAAAGAGAACAAGAACACCTTAAAAACCTTATGTAGGTAACGTGGGACAAACCAGGACTCCTGAGCGATTTTCGCAAGCGACAAGAAGGTACAGTGAGTACGCTTTACAGCCACACTATAAGCCCCGAAGTAGGTCAACTGAATGAAGGAAAAAATGCGCCGACACACAAAACTGAAATAACAAAGAAGCCGTCGCCAACACAGAAGACCTTCGTGTGTTTACCCGAATCCGACGTACTTTCAAGGTATGCGCAGGCTTTGTGGAACACTTTTGCAACCCACTCTACCGTGAACATATGCTTCAGATGCAGATTACCATGGTTAGAAATCTATGCGTTTGTTTCCATATAGTCATTATTCGGGTTCATCTTGTCGCCGCCATCGACGTGCTAACCCTTGAGAGCCACCTCAGCTAAGACCATTGAAGCCCAGGCAACAACTAGCGTGCTACCTCGGCTCCAATGTGGGGAAAAATTGAGCGTGTGATGTAACTACCCATATCTACCTTTTGCCTTGGTTCGACATCTACTACAACTCCATTTTTGGAGCGATCTCAACCTATCCATATCTGCCTATAATTCAAAAAAAAACTTGCAGTAATATTTCCTGTCAACAAACAACATCGCAGTCTGCCCTCACAGTCGACGTAAAGTTATAGGATGCTGAGAGGGACGATCAATCCGGAAGATATCTGCAGATACACTGCAACACCTATCTCTATCGCATCCCATTCCATCTATGTGCAAGTTTTGTGATGATGGTCATCGATGAGTGAACTGTTACAGCTAACACTTGTGCATCGGGCACAGAGCGTTTGTGAGCGCTGTGCCAAGAGTGACCAATACACCAATACATAGAAATGGGCTTAGGTGTACTCAGTGCACAAGTTCGTCATCCAATCAAAGATTCACAGTTAAAACTCAGGTCACAGAATAATTTATGTCCTCAGTAAAGCAAAACCTAGTTGAAAAATATGAAAACAGGACCCACATATGCCAATGGAATTTTGGTAGACAGGATCTCCGCGACTTCGCGATAACGCCGATGTCGTTTGTAAATTTTAGACAGTTCGTAGTAAAGGTATTGAAGATGTAAACAAACAATGAGACCACTCATGTTAATTTGCAGCCAGTTCCAGAATAACATATGAAGATTATGGATGAAATCGACGACTCGCTCCAAAACACCAAAAAATAAATCAACATAGTAGAAAATAATCGACTGTTGAAGATTATTTTTGGCATCCTGGGCAGAACTTTGGGTTTCCAGGTAAAAATGTAGACAGTAGCGAGTTCCCGTATGCATAGTGGACATAAACAACTGGAAGACCTCCGCGAACATAAAAAACATCAGCTGCAATGAAACTTTCAGACCGACAATCAACGAAATACCAGCCAGCAATATTCCCAGGGCGAGGACAGAAAGAAGTAAGAGGGTCATCTTTAAGTGCAAAACTGGCGATGCCGCAGGCATATGAAGCACAAGTTCTAGACGATCCTTGAGGAGGCCAGACAGCAAGTACAAAAATCCTAACACGGATGACCATGCAATCCAGAGAGTAATTTCCTGAATCGACTGAACTTTAAGAACTCCATACATGAAAATAATTTTATAAAAAACGAAATTCCAAAACCGATCGCGGATATGAGTCTGTTCTTTTTCTGTAAGCTGGCCGAAAACTGTGCTCTGCAACTTTAGGGCGAATGACATCAGACAGCCGTATCCAAAATTTGTCAAACTCCAGAAACACCAGGTATCTTCGAGACACTTGTCGAACATGTGGAAACAACGCGATTTGGTAGACGCATCACCGGAAAAATTATTTGCACTTGAGTTGACATTCTTCCGTTGACTCCAGTCATCCTGAACGATATGAAAAATACCGGCAGATAGAGCGATAAGACTGGATATTAGATAAACTTTAAAGGACGGCAAGGGAATCCTTTCGAGTGAGAGGCTGTCCATGATCGATCTGGAACGGGGGACGTGGGCACTTTATTGTGGCTCGTTCGACCGGTGACAAACATTAACGAATGGTACCTACAACGAAGGAGTATGTTGGTAAGGTAGAAGAAAAGCATAGGAACATTGTCAGTTAGTGTAAGAGTAAATTTATTAAGAATATTTCTGATGACATAAAGTAAAAAAATGACATGGAAATGTAAAATACAACAAAAAACGGCAAAGTGGATATTGAGTATTTCCACTGGCAGGTATCAACCCTGTTCCGTAACTTGCGAATCCATCGCACAGTAACCGGCGAACCAGTACTTGAAGCCCAAACACACACCCGTCACACACGCTCACCTGACAGTTCGACCGTCGATTTCGACGATGTCCACCGTGTGCCCCACAGCTGCAGCTGCAACGGTGGGAGCAGGGACGGTGACTTGCGCAAACATTTATAGTGCCAGTAGACTTGCGTAGCATCTACCTACACTCTCTCCTCCTTCCCCGCCTGGGCCCGGTGTCAAGACAGAGTCAAGAAGACCGGAGACGAGGGAGGCCGCAGGTGGATGGCTCGGACGGATCCTCACCTTGGCGTTCCACCACACCCCCAGGTCCACACAACAATAACCAGGATTTGAACCAACACAACATAGATTTGGAGGCTGGCACGGCCGAAGCCGCACCTGGGCGTGCCGCCAACGCCTGGCTCGGATTCCACACTGTGGTGGGAATGCCATAAAGGCCACATTAAAAAGGAGCCATTGCAGCCTGACTCTCAGACCGCCTCCAGTAATGGAGGAGGTCCAAGGTACCCCGTCAGTTGGCAACCTTCCAAGCCACGGCTTTTAGCGCACCGTGATAGCTTCAGGCGCGTCAGATTGTTTATAGTGAGGAAAATGCGCTGAGTCGTCGACCTCACTCTCCCTTCCCATTCCCACACCCCAGCCACTGTCCGAGCCAGTCGGTAGACTGGAGTGGGGAATGGGCGCGGTGGCTGACACGGTCGACTGACCATGCCTGCGCGCGCCACAGCACGACCTGGCCCCCCATACACACAAACACCAGGATTTAACACAACGGGGGTTGAACGGCGTGACTCTCACATGCGTGAGAGGGCCGTGGAAGGCGCTGCTTCAGCCCGTCCCCAGCCCACCAGTCCGCCCCTACACAACACACACACACAACGTGACGAACTGCGTGAACCGAGAACGGGCGTCAATCAGCAACCTTCCTATCCACGACACTTGACGTGTCGGGATAGTCTCGGACTCAATTCACTCGTGCAGCCGAGGGCGCATGGGGACCGAGTCGAGATGCACACTTCCCACTTGCGTGGGAGGCGGCAGTTGAGTGCATGAGGTGTGTGAGGGTTGACGTCTAGTGGGGTGATGCTGTTAGGAGGTAGGGAGTGAGGGAATGTGTGGTGTGACCGGCGGTTGTCTACCGCAGGTCGTCGTGGATGCGCATGTGGCCGAATAGACCCATGCGATGCGTGAAGGTGCGAGGGCAGTGTGGGCAGTGGAGGCGAGTGCGGTGAGTGTAGGTTGGTGCACCAGGCACTGGTTCGCCAGACTCTGTGCGATGGATTCGCAAGTGACCGACCAGGCCGATGCGTGAAGTGAAGGTGCGATCGCAGTGAGGGCAGACGTAGTCCGGGCCCTCACATCTGTTGATGGTGGTTGCAGGGGTTGTGCCTGTTGTTGTGTCAGGTGCGGCTGTGGTGAAGTCGTGCGCTACAGACGCCGGAGTGGCCGTCGTTGTGGCAGTGAAGGAGGAAGGGGGGGAGTGAGGGGTGGTAAGGTCGGTGGCGTCGATGTCGGCTGGGGAGTGGTTAGTGGGTGCACAAGGTGATGGATTGGGAGTGGGGCTCGGCGGGGTGGGTGTGTCAAGGCTGCGGTCAATTCCGCTCTCGTGGATGCGCATGTGGCCGAATAGGCCCATGCGATGCCGGAAGGTGCGAGGGCATTGTGGGCAGTGGAGGCGAGTGCGGTGGGTGTAGGTTGGTGCTCCAGGCACTGGTTCACCAGTCTCTGTGCGATGGATTCGCGAGTGACCGACCAGGCCGTTGTGTGAGGTGAAGGTGCGGTCGCAGTGAGGGCAGGTGGGGGTGGTTGCGGTTGCTGTGTCGTGGTTGGCGATGTGTGAGACGGCAGCCTGAACGGCCACCGCTAGGGCAGTGGAGGAGGAGGAGGATGGAAGTGGTGGTGCAGAAGGAGTGTCAGAGTTATTTGGCGGAAGAGAGGACGAGGAAGAGGCGGGCGCGGGGACGATGGCTGGAGCAGTTCGAGAGGTGCAGTTGGTTCGAAGATGTCCAACAAGTCCGATTCGAGCCCGGAATGTCCGTTGACATCGAGGACACGTAGGGAGAGGTTGTGCGGCGGCGTTGCGTATTGGGCGAAGTTGTGATTTGCGGACTTCGCGTTTCACTTTGGCGGCGGCGATGCGGTTGGCTTCGTAGATAGCAGCGCCCGCCTTCACTGTTCTCCTCCATGTCGGACGATCGCGGGCGAGCTCTTCCCAGTTGGTCGGGTTGATGTGCAGGCGCTTCAGGGAGGACTTCAGAGTATCTTTGTAACGGCGAATTTGGCCTCCTTGACGACGAGAACTCGTCGCGACGTCTCCGTAGAAGAGTCGTTTGGGTAGTCGCTCGTCGTCCATGCGCACCAGATGGCCGCTCCAGCGCAGCTGCATTTGTCTCAACATGAAGTAGATGCTCAGCATTCCCGTCCCTTCCAGCACTTCGGTGTCGGGGATGCGGTCCTGCCAGTTCAGCCTCAGTACGCGGCGGAGACAGCTGAGGTGGAAGTGGTTTAGTCGACGTGCCTGCCTCGTGTACACCGTCCAGGTCTCCGCTCCGTACAGTAGCGTCGGCAGGATGACGGCCTTGTACATCTTCAGCTTTGTGTTCAGTTGGAGACCATGACGATTCCAAACTGTGCTTTGGAGGCGACCGAAGGCTTGACTGGCTTTCGAGATCCTGTTGGCGACTTCGTCGTCGATCTTGATGTTGCGGGAGAGCGTGCTGCCCAGGTACGGGAAGTTCTCTACCACTTGCAGTTGAGTCCCATTCACGTTGATTTGCGGCGCGTGGGGGGGGGGGGCTGTGGCTGAGCTGGGAGGCGGCTGATGCATCACCACCGTCTTCTGCGTGTTAATAACCGGCCCAAAGTTCTCGCAGGCGGCGGAGAATAGGTCCATGCTCCGTTGCATCTCCACTTCTGAGGTGGTGTTCAGGGCGCAGTCGTCGGCGAAGAGGAGTTCGTGCACGGTGGCTGTGGATACACGCGATTGGAAGTTCATGCGCCGGCGATTCAGGAGATGACCATCCGTCCTGTAGGCGATGCGGATCCCGGGGCGTTCGTCACGGTAGGCGTCCATCAGCATGGCAGAGAACATGAGACTGAAGAGGGTAGGCGCCAGCACACAGCCCTGCTTCACTCCGTTGGTCACTGCGAACGCCTCCGAGACAGCTCCGTTGTCTGTGACTCGCGCCATCATACCGTCGTGCAGCTGACGCACCATCTGAGTAAATCGCTCCGGACAGCCGAATTTCTGCATAATCCTCCACAGTCCTTCACGATTCACCGTGTCGAAGGCTTTTGTCAGGTCCACGAAGGTTGAGTACAGGTGGGTCCGCATCTCCTGGCACTTCTCCTGAAGTTGGCGGGCTGCGAAGATCATATCCGTGGTCCCACGATGACGACGGAAGCCGCATTGGCTTTCCGGCAGAAGGCCCTGTTCGAGATGGTTGTTGAGGCGGTTGAGCAGGATGCGAGCGAAGATCTTCCCGGCGATGTTCAGTAGGGAGATGCCGCGGTGGTTGTCGCAGACTTGGCGATTCCCGTTGCGCTTGTATAGGTGCACGATAGTTGCGTCCTTGAAATCTTGCGGGACTTCACCTTGACGCCACATCTCCTGGAAGAGCGCAGTCAGGTGATCCATCAGTAGGGGACCTCCGTGCTTGTAGACCTCAGCAGGGATTGCGTCCGATCCGGGTGCTTTCCCGCTGGAGAGCTGCTGCAAGGCCCTGATCGTTTCCTGGAGAGATGGCGGGAGGTCGAGGTCCGCGTTGGTCTCCACTTGCGGCAAGCGGGCGATGGCGGCTTCGGAGATGACGGAAGGGCGGTTGAAGACGCCTCGGAAGTGCTCGGCCCATCGCTGCAGGATTTGCGTCTTCTCAGTCAGGAGAGTGCTGCCGTCGGCGCTGAGGAGAGGAGCAGTGCCCTTCGTCGGCGGACCGTAGACAGCTTTGATCGCGGAGAAGATGTTCTTCCATTCGTTGCGGTCCGCGTAGCCTTGGATCTCCTCAGCTTTGCGGGCAGTCCAGGCGTCCTGCATCTCGCGCAGTCGTTGCTGAAGCTGTCGGCGACTGCGGTAGAAGGCAGCTTTGTTGCCCTCAGTTGGGTGCTCTACGTAGGCTTTGTGTAGGCGGTTCTTCTCGGCAAGCAGATTTCTGATGCTGGTCTCAATGATGTCTCAAAACGTACCTCCTCAGGCGTGACGATCCGCGGCAGTAGACCTGAGCAGTCCAACCCATTCTCTTAGCCAACGACGGAGACCGAATACCGAAGGTCCAAGAACCACCTCCATGTCTTGACGAACTGCATCGAACCAGGTTTTGAGTTGACCCCCCTCTTCGACCCCTCCAATGGGGTAACGGTGACGGATCGAGAGCAGTAACACTGAGCCCCTAAGGTGGGCGACGGAAAACATGCCCAAACCACTTCGGTCCTCTTTCGTGGATGGCTGGGGTTATCCTTGTGATGTTGTCGCAGAGGGTGCGGACTGTCTCATCTGAGACGAAGTCGGTGCAATTCACTTGATGGATGGTCCTCAGGCAGTGGTGGTCAAATACCTCCAGTATTCGCTCGTCCTCCACACATACAGCCCAGCATTCGCTACCATAGAGAAGGACAGACTGTACAGATGCACAGCACACGAATCTTAGTGGCGATGGAGGTGTCGTGTCGGATCCAAAGGTATTTTTTAAGACTAGAGAAAACCCGGTGGACAGCATCAATTCGGGAGACTCCTTACTCTGCCCATTCGGCAGCAGCCTCGCTCCGAAGTATTAAAAACTGTCTACTTCTTCAAGTTAACAGTCATCAATCCCGAGAGGTGCCCTTTTCTGGTCAGGGATGCAGCTTGAAAGCACTTTAGTCTTCCCAGTGTTGTAGCTACGACCGTGGCAAGCACACGAGATGGACAGGACGAACAAATATAGATGCAAGAGTCAGGACGAGAATACCCTATAACAGGGCTTCATTCATCTTACAACTGACGCGCTAGAACTAAAACGAGAAATAGAAAAGTAGTAGATAAGATGGGATTTAGCCAGGGTCTTATGTTAGCATGACATTCACCCCGGCCAACAAATGGAGGAATCGAGATGTTAATAATCGATGGGAAAAGTTGGCATGGGGAAAAGTTCAGGTGTCTCTGTTACGAAGACAGTATGGGTGAAGACGTTGTTGTTGTTGGATCAATCTTTCTAGGCTATGCATACGGACATCGTCAGCGTTAGGTACACTAACAGGTGTTGCATCATTTTGTTCGTCAGTTGAAACGGTGCTACCTTCTTGCTCGGTAATGGGTGGGTGGTCAGGGGAAAGTGGGAAGAAATTTTCTGGTACCGGCGTGGCCGTCTCCTGGTGGCAATCACCAACATCCTTTTCACGGCTGGGAGCAAGCAGTCGAACAGATACCGTTTCTTCTCTGCCATTATTGAATCGTATACGAGCATATTGGGGGTTACATCGGAGTAGTTCTACCTCATCAACAAGCGGGTCAAACAAAGACTGCCGATTGCTCTTCTTCAGCAGAACTCTTCCAGGAGAGGTAAGCCACATGGGGAGAGTAGTGCCAGTAGTCGACCTTCTGCTGTAGACAAACATTCGCTCATGAGGCGTCGCATTAGTGGCGGTATAGAGTGTAAAGCGTTTGCATTTTTCTTGCTAATATGTCTGTATTAGGTGAAACCCGCGGGATCAGCACGTCCGGCGTAAAAGACATCGATATGGCAGGCACGATTATCACCAGACAGGGCCGAAATACAAAAAGTGAGAACGAGGGATGATGCAGAAATTGTAGCAATTACTGCTGCGTGTTTCCGACGTAAACCTGCAGATATCAGCCATGAGGCTGGATATGCTGCGTATAACTAATCCTGCTACAGAAATGGCCGCTCAGCCTGGGTCTTTATTCAATCAAATTGCAGGAGTGGAGAACTCTGACCAGTTTCCCGCAGCTCTTGCAGGGAAAAACTCTGTGGTGATAGCTCAACCGTTGCATCCGACGATGCCTACCGTGTGCTTCGCAGCAAGAGGAAGCAGGCACGGTGGTTTGAGCATGAATTAGTTTATCGTGGGAACAGACTTGCGCGGCGCCTATCGCACTCTCTCCTCCCCACCTGGACCACGTGAGAAGACAGAGTGAAAAAGAATGGTGGCGAGAAGGGTGCAGGTGGATGGCGCGGCCAAACCCGCACCTTGGCGTTCCACTCCACACACCCTGGTCCACGAAAAACACTTGACCGGGATTTTGACCAATAACAACAACAACAACAGCAGCAGCAGCAGCAGCAGCAGCAGCAGCAGCAACGACAACAACAATAGCAGAAAGGATTGGATAACTGGGCAATCATGCACGCGACCCGTATACCCAGCGGGAACGCTAGCGAACTTACAACCAAAGAACCAGGTACCGGAAAACTAACAGCTCATAACAGGCTGGCAGGGGCATTGTTTTTTGATCACGGCGTAACAGACGCTCACAAACCTTGGGGGCCAGATGGGTGAGAGAACATTCTGTGCTTAGTAGTAGTAAACGGCACATCGACAGTGCAGTGCACAGACATCGTACTGGGCCTTGTTCGGAGGGGCCTGAACGACTACGTTTGTTACCTGATTTTTTGTGCAAAATTCGCGGAAGAAATAAACTAATAGGCTACTTTCTATGGCTGGCAACTTGGGAAAAGAACGCTCTGCAGCTCAGAAAAAAACGATTTTGTTCTGGGTAAGAGAAGTTTCCTATGTTAATTGGCTAACTAGCGCGCAGATGTTTTCGATCGGTGAAATACGTACGGACGGTGGGATCGACAGAAACCGGAGGATGCTTTTAGATATGTCTTCAAGAAGGCTCCCGACCGCCTACAGAAACGCTGCCAAACTTGGCTTTAAAGCCTCCTTAGCCCAACTTACAAATGGTACATATGGGCCGACATAAACCTGTCCTTTACAAAGCGACTTAAACGGTCGCTGAACACCAGCAAAAAGAATACAAAAGCACGACAACGCAACGTAAGCGAACGGCAGACCTCCCACAATGATTGATTACAAACTTAACTTCTACGTAGATCTAATCCCCAGACCTTCGACTGGGTACGCGTCTGATTCACCGATGTACTGCCGTGACATGGACCCATAACATCTCGGAGAACAGTGCACATGTTTGCCTTTTTTATTTTTTTTTCAGTACACATAACCTTCCTCACACGACTTTAAAAGTGTTGTGGCTACGTTACGTTTTCATACGTTTATCGTTTAAATGAAAGCTATAGCTTATCATATATGATAAAGTTTTGAAGGACTGGAATGGACGACGCTAGGATTTCCGTGAATAATAGGGTCGAAAAGAATGCTGTATGTCCTGCTGTCGCCGTCTTCGAGTATTTCGAAAAGCCGATACCCACTCGATATACCTATGTCGAAAATCCGCTATCTAATCGGTATCGACCCTAATATATTAGTCGATTTACTCTTGCCACTAGGGTTATTCGTAAACCTTCATATTCAGTACAAAGTTGCAATAGGAATAAGTGTCTAAAATATTGACTAAGTGTTCTAAGAATTATCTGGCACTTACTTTAATATACAGTCACCTATAAAAGGACCACTAGGCCTGACGGAACAAATGACATTCTGTGGAAGCAGAACACAAGCAGCCGCACTTACCCACAGCTCATTAAAACACACCGGACATGAAACGATAGCATTCGCTTTCCCTAGTAATAATGATTTTTTATTTTTAGGCGCCCAGAGGGTCCTATTCAGGCGAAATGAACGCCCAGTCAATTGTTAGAATAAAGTAATGTAGACAGTATTGACCAGCGTGAGCGGCCTGATTTATAGTAGAATTGAGAATCTGTGCTATGTAAAGTAGTCAAGGTTTTCCACGTCCGCCGGCAATTTATCCTTCTACATCCGATAAAATTAATTATACAGATTTCATAAATCCCATAGTAAAAGATTTTAGAAACAGGGCGGACTACGAACTAAACAATCGAAGGAACTCCCAAAACGCAAAAGTAAAGGGTAAGATTAGGGAGCGCTCACTCACCCCCCTTTCAAGAAAATATCCAGGAGAAAAAGCTACTTCGCAAAGGGATGATAGAGTAGGGTAGGTTCCTTCTAAAGGCGGGATGAAACCGCAAAGGTGAATGAGCTATTGAGAACGAGGCGTCATGGTAGCGTGCCTGGGGATATCAGAAAGGGCCAAACCCACCGTGGGACCGACAACAGAGGTGAAACCTTAACATTCCAGTGGCCAGAAAGGAATCCTGATGAATATTAATTCGCGCGAAACGGAGGAATTTTAGAAAGTGCATGTCCGTAAGACACCGATCACTGCTTTGAGGTGTTGGTCACAGAGGAAACCGCGTTTTGTGGGTGACACGATGCATGGAATCGAAAAAAACAAAATCTCTGCTGGGGGGTTGTGGAAAGCGAAACCGCAGACGAAAAAGAAAACGGAAGTGGATGAGGAAATTTGGCGGCGGCGTTCTAAATTTTCGATGGTCTTTTATTAATGTAATGTAGAATGCAGCTCGGGAAGGTTAATCGCCCAGTGTTTAGATAAAGTCACAGCATGCTCTTAAAGGCATATGAAATATTTGGCGATTAAATTTCGACTGGCGGATTGTTCCAAAGAAGGAAATACATGAAAGCAGGGAAAGCAAGTCCCACAAAGTCATTCCGCCTTTGCTTGGCACTAACGATGCCTTCAATACAAAGGAGTCAGGCAAAGGAGAAATGTTAGATTCATTCTTTGGTAAACATTTCACGATCGAGACTGACCCGATCCCTTCAATTCCTCTGTTATCTGATGCGCCCTCGCCACCACTAATTTTGCTCCTGCAAATATTATAAAACTGGTAAACAAGCTTACTAACTCGTCAGAGCACCTCGAAACGAGACAGGCGGTCAAATAAAGTAACGAGAGTTGGCAACACCGCAAACAAAAATCGTGTCGCTGAAAATGACTAATGATCAAGAGATCGTAGTTAGTGGGGAGTCATACGTTAGTTCTGTCGAATCAAACCTTCCTTAATCAGAGAATGG